TATATATTTCATTTGGTTTGTCTAGTTAGCATCTCGATATCGAGATGGTTTTACACATATGGATGAACAGGTTTGAGTTTCTTGTGTTACCGCGTCCTTTTCTCGTTTTTAGCTTGAATTGTTTAAATAACTTGATGCATTGTATGCTTCCTGCTGTATGGGGGTGGGTGGGTGACATGCTGACTGCAGAATGAGGTGTCAGACAACATTGACTGTCGTGTGTGCATGAGTGCTGTGTAATGAGTGTAATTGCTGTTAGTAAACATCTATCAAAACAGACCGCAGTCGTGGTACACTTAGTCCAAGTACCATTACGACGACACAAAGATCAACTAACAATTGACTCTCAGTGTGGCTTAAATCAACAGCAGCTATGTATATGCCGTTATTGCGATACAACACAGTTCACAGCCAGTTCAAATTACCAATAATTAAAGCCTGGCATATTTTCAGATCGCAGGGATCAAAAATATCTTCGAAATAGAGTGGTTATTACAGGAATATTGTAACCACGGACAGTCGAGATTATGTGAGCCATTGCTAGTTATTTTAACCTCTCTATCGCATTTTAAGCCTACTGTCTCAATGTTCTCTGCACGCTGCATGTTAGAATAACCTCAAAAAGCTTCATCTTTATTTTCTGAACACGGTAATTTGTAAAGAACTGCATGAACTTTATACCTGTATAGAATTAACATTTATTAATAAAAGACCACTACTAACATGCTGTGAAACGTTTGAAATGTACTTTCGTTCCATGTATCCTGACTTCTTTTCTATATTGTCAGTAATTTGACGATGCAAAAATATAAAATGTGATTTTATCTCTTGTAAAATAATATACCTCTTTTTTGTATTGCTAACTGTCTTCTCCTTCTGTTCCCATTGCTCTAGTGACGACTGAAAGTAAAGGTGGGTTTAGGCCATTCCTGTAGCTTCAAAGATGATTATTGTTTCGTTTTTCTAAGACGCTGTTGTATTTGCCAACCAAACTAACATTAGTTGTGATGCAATCTATTTATTTAATTACGGAGGCATTAGGATCCTAAATAGTTTTGAGAAAGAATTGATTGAATATTTTTGCAAGTACTTTTTTATTTCGTGGATCTTTTCCCGTAAAGTTCTACGTCATCACGTTGTTGTCCTGTCAATGACAATGCCAGCAGACTCTTAGCACTGACAGGGAAATTTTACCGACCTGATTGACTCCGCACTGAAACAATATTAGAATTAGTCTATTTTAGTGCGGAACTATGCAATGCAACAAGGTTTTGAACAATATATATTTTTCTCCATCTCTATTATTATTATTGGTTAAACGAACATGTGTGGATGTTTTTCATTAATTAACTTAGATTTTCCGGGTGAGATGTTGGTAATTTCTAGCCCCGGAAATTGCATCTTTTTCACACAACCAAACTACTTGTCCACGTAGCATCACGCCGTTTTAATCTTATGACATTGGTTTTTAATAGCAGTATAGTATATGCGATGTCAGCTTTGATTTGGCCGTTAGACCTGTCGTCGATTCTTAACGTCGCATAGAGTAATATTCACAGCTTATTGCTGTCTCGAACACGCAACTCATTGCTCCAAGTTTGATACTCGAAACTATAGCCACTGTAGAGGCCGTTATGGAATGATCTCTCAAAGCACGTCAATGTTATAGCATTATTTTCGATGAAAAATAATCCATTTGCCGAGATTTCTCGTTGTAATGCCTGATAAGATAACCATGATTGCCACTCGAGACTATTTACATTGAATAATGACCATGGAGATATGCAGTTCTCTACATCTACAAGTGACATGCCGGTGGTTTAATTATTTACAACGCTTCAATTTAGCGATTTGACCTTTCCTTTTTTCTAGGTAGCTTTCACTGATGTCTTGATCTGGCATATGTGTTTCAAACATATTAATGTGAAACTGGGGAATCACAATGAAATTGTCACACTTAGTAATCCCACTGCCATTTTTACGGTATCTCAGTATGATTTTACTGCTATTTGATGAAGATTCATCAATTCTCATAACTGGATGGATATTAATAAATACTTCTCGTCAATCTGTTAATCACTGCAGGTGCCACAAGATGGCGGGAGATATCAGGCTTGCCAATCCCGCTTATCAGGCTGCGCTGAGAGTGCTACTCGTGTTCCCTATTATATAATAAATCTTTACTAGTTTTATTATTAATTAGTGTTCATCTGTTATTTCAGAGGAGCCAAGCACTGTAAATTAAATTTCCATCCAAATTTTTATCATCTCTGTAATGGCTCCTTTATAGTTCTTGTTAGTACTTCCGTAGATGCAATTAAGGTTTCTTCATGCAGGTAGTGCACATTTAGTTTAAAATCATATTAATTTGAATATTACTTAATAACTTTTTTCCTGTCATATTTTGCAGAGACAGCACTGAAACAACAGTCTGAGATGCTTCTGAACGACATGAACCGGCTTCACTCAAATTCGTAGTCAAATGAGACGCGACTTCTGCTACATCAAATCTGCTAAACCAATGGAACAGAAGTGTTTAAAACCAATTAGAAAAAAAAATATCCGCCAAACCTGCACGGTCGTCGAGTTTAGACATTTCATTTAGATCGTGAAACTCTCGGAATGTAGATTACCAATTAAGTAAGCTCGCGTGAACCCTTGCCATGACGTGTTATTTCATCTTAAGTTATGGGGTTCAATCGTGCTATGTTGACCATTGTTATGGCGTCTTGATTTTATATAGCTCGTGTTGATAGAGATAATTTATTGTTTTTGATAGGTAATGGTTTTCAGTATATGTATCTGTCCATGTGCGCGTTTTATACTTTAAATTTTATTGTCTTATTCAACCGTTTTAAGTATGCGTGAATATTGTTATCTGCATTTGGGAATACTTTTACGTTGCTTCGACTCTACACCAACAATACGCTTATTTTCGTCTCAACGGTTGATGTGTACCATGCAAATAAAGTTATATCGTGGAATCAATGTAGCTACCTAAATTTATTACTGTAGCAATTATATACTAGGTTCAATATTTATTGTCATTTTAGTTTTGGATTTATTTTATTTAGAAAGTTGTCACTGCGTTCAGAGTAGCGCCAGTCTCGAATGTTTGGACGCGCGTCTGGCAGGCGTTCGCCTGGCGTTGTGTCGTACACTCACCGCTATTGCACTCTACCAAGCACCAGCTGTTCACAAAATGCGTATCGTCCTTTTTTCATGAATTTTCATAAAATCACTGATGTATTAAGCTTTTTACGAGTATAAACTCTCCTATCCATTTATTGAAGAGCGATATACGGAATTATGTTTACGTGTATTGATTTTTAGGCATCGCTTCTCGGTAATGTGTGCCGAGCCTGCTACTTCATACGCGTCTGCTTGTTGCCTCTTTGATGGCACAAATTCTCGACGCCATAAAATTGCCCCAATTTTTTTTATGCGCCTACGTCTCGCTATGTACATTCGAAGGATTCAGATGCATAATTTTCAGTGCAAGTTTTTTTTTCTCAAAAATCTATGTGCATACGAGTGAAATGTTTTTTATCAATGATGCTGCAGACTTATTAATTTTTATTTATTTATCAGTGTGGTATTGCTGTGAAGACGTTATTTTTATTATTGCGTCGCAGAATTGTTCCCAATAACATTTCCTAATTGCATGCTTCGCTCAACTTGTGTTTGTCTCTTGGGTTATGCGATCCGCCATATGCAATGTACACATGCTTTCTTATCTCCTTTGTGCGCACGGCACCTGATATTGCGCGGCGCAATAACCTTGGCAAGGTCATATCAGCTCTGTAAAACTTGCATGACGCCCTTTTGCCGCACCAAGCACTGGCATTGCCTCGAGTCGTGTTGCGCGCGCAACCTAACCCCAATATTGCGCCTATAAAACGACCTCTTGAGAAACTAGTCCCAGTTATCAGCAGTGCTTCGATTTTTGCGCTCCACACCGCACTCCATTATTGCAAAGGGTCATTAAAACGCGCTACGCGGGATTCCCTGCTCCAATATTGCCTCAAAAAAACTCTTGCCCACGGCACCCCGAGCACCTACATTGCCTTGACCTTTTGTGACAATATAATAAGTTAGTGAAACATTCAACATATATTGCCAGTCGAACCGTAATTTTATACTCATATTGAAGAATATGATATTAGTTTATATTACAGGCTGTAATGATGGTTTTAATGGCATGTGAGCCAAGTTGAGTGTCATGACATGAGTCATTCCCTGCCGCCGCCATGTTGTGCTCACGTGCTTTGTGAGCTGACGTACGATTGAGTACGACAACAGTCGCAGCGGAAATCCTTATGCAAAACACTTTTAAGGAAAATGTGTATACTCATTAATCATACTCATATGGCAAATATTGTACTCTCATCGCAATCATGCATATTATTTGTGCGATTTTGTTTTCGTCAAGATATTTGACTGTGGCCATTTTGTACCTATAACACCTAGTTTCGTCCGTGTAAATAGTGTACGTAGAACGCATCCATACTTCGTGATTTGTCATAAAGACATTCCTGTACATATCATGCTATGAATAAATGTATGCATAATGTAGCAAAGCAATCATATTTGTCCATTCATAAAGTTCCTCGATCATTAAAAGTTATTTAAAAAATCGTGCTACTCACGATCTTAGTGAATCCATTTAAAGTATTACTATTGAAGGAGATTGAATCCCAATTAATGATACGTTTTTAATGCAATTTTCTGTTCAATTTTCGTGCGACTCATGCAACAGAGTTATGTTAGTATTGCTCTCATGCTATTTATATGAATTTAATTATTGCCTGTACAAATAAGACGTGTGACTAACTTTGCATATGACGTTTGCTAGGAACTCAATGCATCATATAAACGAAGTGTGTTATACCCAGCTTTATTCTACTCCAGATCTGAAAATATTTTTTAGTTTACATAAAATTCTTCATTTAAATTGAGCGTTGAAGGCATGCTATTGAACGTTTTCAATGTCATATCAAAACCTTTGTTTCAGTACTTTATCGAATAGAGGTTAATGCGACACTTATGTATGTATTAAAAAATCAGGTTTCAAAATTCACCCAAGTGAGTTACATAACTTGTATTCGTGTCCGTTGTCATACCATCCACAACCTGCAATACACTCATAGCTTCTTATCGCTGCTTTGCGCACGGCACCTCGTAGTATTGCGCCGCGCAATAGCCCTTGCTGCTTTCAATGGGAACTAATCATATTACATCATCATAAAATTTATCATTAATATTCATGAATTTCTAAATCCATCCGAAAAAAGCGCCTTAGACTTTGTAATTCTTACCTGAGATAAGAACCACACTTCTTACTATATTTTATGCATTTTGTACAGAAGTGAGAACTAAGTTCTTAAAGCTTACGTGTCCGTCAAGTACTAATTTTGATACTCATTTTCTCGTAACGTGTAAAAGTTAGGAATTGCTGACGTCATTCAAGCTTTGTGCAATTCTCTTGTATTGAGTCGTACAAACGTTTTTATTGTATTTGTACATAATTTTTGTAAATAGATGTATTTGTATATCTTATCCATCACTGGTTGTTTCATTACCTATCCAAGGTATATTAGAGTTATTTTAATAATCTCGTAAATTCATGTATATATATTTTTTTGTTTTCCGGATAATATTAACCCTTTACGCCCTGGCGTGACGAATTCGTCACACAGAAAAAAACATCGGTTTTCCAACAATTTCACATTTTCTGTCATTTTGTCGAAAAATTCACAGGAATAAAAAAAGTCTTAGATTTATTTTTTACATATGTGTACCAAGTTTCAAAGTTATCTGTCGGTAAGAGACCAGTAATTTTCGCCCATATTAAATGTTAAAGAACTCCCCCACCCCTAACCCTTTCACGAAATGTCGTCAAGGCATAAATCAACGTACAGAGACGATTTTGGTACCGTTGGATAGGTCAGAATGTCAGCTTTGAAGTGAGACTTAGAACCGAAAAAGTGAATTTTACGATTTTCATCCCAGAAATTCAGGGCATAAAGGGTTAAATATATTACGGTCGTTCCATAGGGTTTTTGAAACAAATTTACAGACCAGCACTTTGTGCTTATATAATAATTTATAGAATAAAATGAACAAAATACTTTGAATGCACCTGCGAAAAGTTCCCAAGCATGCAACTTCTCTGCATCAATAACAAATTCGTGGTTGATTTGGGTCCCTAATTATGTAGCTCTTCTGGAAGCTCTTCAATAGTTAGAGCTTCGGGCATAGAAACTTCTGTTTAACTACCGCTCTTAATTTGAAGCAAATGTTGTTAAAAGAGAAATTACATTCCTGAATGTCGCCTAAGCATTTGCTGAATATAGTGTAACGATTCAGGAGTACAAATCCTTTATATTGGAGCACAAAATATGACCATTTTGACGATGTTCTCGAGGTAGGCTTCAAACAAAAGCCTGACAATCTAAATAGTATCCAGAATAGAATATAGAGTGTCGGCACTGAAGAAATTGGCCCATGACCTGTTGCCGATTCTTGTACTTTGGTCTCACAGTCTCAGATGCAGGTATAAAAAAGCATTTGCAAATCTGCGTCATATATCAGATGTTGGTTTCGTCCTGATTGCCTTTACAATCGTCGTATACGATGGATATTAATAATTCTAGGCAAGTGCTTGAATAACACTGCAAGTTTTCGGTCTTCTAGCAAACTTGATGTAGGAATGCTCCATGGTTGAATTAATACAATTCAACTATGGGAATGCTCTACGTAGATTTTAAAAATAATTTGAATAGATGTGTAATTCTTTGTAATTTCAGACGACAATATATTGGTGCATTATTTGTTTTGTTCATGCGCTTCGCGTGTCAGTCTCATACCTAATTAACTTAATTAATTTTTGGATCATATTTTAATGACCAGAATACAGGCTTATATATATAGTTTCAATTTATGTTCCATCGTGATCCTTGCAATCGAAAATAAGAGCTTATTAGAAAATAGTAACATTCTCAAGTACATCTGAACTGTTCAATCTAACCTCATTTTCGTACGGATAAACACATGACCCCAAACATGATCTCAGCTAAAAAAATTAATTTGCAGTACGAAGAATGCAACTGTTGCCTGTTGGACAAATAAGCCACCCCTACTTCGGTTCGGTGTTAAATCTGACAATGAAGCTGGCGGTTTTTTTCGTTTGCGTTGAATGTCTTGATTGTCGATTTTGTAGTTTGCTATTTAAATAAAAAATAAAACTGATTTGCAAACTTGGTGCACATTATTGGTTAACAAAGTTGAACCCTGTGAGATTGCTCCAGGTTGGAGGACTTCACGTTCATTTGAATTAGAAAAAATTCGAATTAAAAATAAATTATCTGATTTCAAATAAAGCAGAATTATTTTATTCGTAATATAAACGCTATTTTCTGATTACACATCGAGTTTAACAGTAGTTGAATTCAGAACTTTTGAAGTTCATGTTTAAGAAAGATTATTATTAAATATTACTAGTGAAATAATGAAACAGATTTCCGAGATATTGATCGCTACTTTATCCGTTTTTGTTGGGAAATTCTTCCCTGTCTGTAATAAAGCTAAGTTTTCGAGACGATTCCATGTCATGCATATCAAAAATTTTGCCGGCTGTTTCGATTGTCTTTTTTTCCTGCAGCTGGAGCGTGGAAGTATAAAACGCTTTGTGCGCCGCCTCAGCTCATTCTTTACCGAGAAGCCTGCGCAGTAGGTCGTTTGGGTCACCAGTGCGTGGACGTGCGATTTACTTCTAGAGTCTTAGCCGCGATTTACTGCGTAGCGTTAGTTTGTCTTTGAGAATTTCATTGCCTAAAAGTTATCGTCATGGCGTCGATCATCCGTCAGAACTATCACGAGAACTGTGAAGCTTCTATCAACAAGCAGATTAATATGGAACTCTACGCAAGCTATGTGTATTTATCGTTGGTAAGTGGTCTTTCTCTTGGCCTTGATTAGCCGCGCTTGTATCCATGCGCTGACGTTCTTGGTTGCCTAATGCCAGACGCCAGTAGGTAGTCAACGTTGAGCTGGATTTGAGTTTGACATCGAAGTCCGAAATACAAATGACTATTTCGAGGATGATTAGCTAGTTCTATTTAGTAATGTTGGCAGTCAATCATGGAGCTGATACTAGTTATTAAAATTTCTGCTAGTTTTTGTTTCAATTGCAAGCTAGGAATAACCTTCTCAATTTGGAATGGTAACTAATTTACTAAAAAGCAAGTGCATCAGCTGTATATCCCCTTCATGCATTTGTTTACCTATTTTCATTATTGAGATGGCTCTTTTATGTTCTGTCTAGAAAATTTTCTTGACAGACAACTTAATCTGAATTTTGGAGGGATTTGAACTGATCAATAAATGAGTTTCCTAATCTTGAGAGCAATGTAGCATGAGGCTTCCTCCTGTAGCCTGCCTTAGTAAATGGTCTTAGAAATAGATGGATGATACCTAATAGTAATGGATAAGATTAAAGTTTCCTCAGTCATGTTAGTTTCTAATTGAGGACTTCAACTGCCAGAGGCCCAGAACACCAGAGGCAGAGCTACTTTCTACTCTAGGCAGTCCTCTTTGCAATGCCCGTTAATGTTGCCCGTATAGCTATACCAATCACTTCTACAGTTCTACTAGACTACTAGTTCCTGGCATTAAATAGAAATGATGCATGTAAACCAAACTGAACAACTTCTTAATTTGTTGGCTGTTGGGGATAGTTTAGTAATTGTTTAGTAATGTAAATGTACAACCAGTATTGAGTAAGATATGTTCAATGGTAAAAAGTGGTCTGGTGAATGCACTGTGCAGGCATAGAATATATCTGCTTGGTGAGCTGCAACTGAATTTTTCAAGCCATGGTTTTATGGATTTACCAGCCGTGATTCCATTTCTTAAAGCCGTAAATCCATTTTTTGAACCATGAATTCCATATCTTGGCTGCAAAAAGCAATTTACGATGAGTGTTAATGCAGTCTGACGTGGCCAACTATGGCAAATTTTCAACAAAACCTTTAGATTGACTTGTTTAAATTACAATGATTACATTCTGCAGGATATTTTGGCAGGAATGGTAAAGTAATGCAGATTGTGAAAGTGAAAATTTTATGAAATGACTTTTGTGAAGTGCAAACTGCAATTATTTTCAATCTAACAAAAATTTGACATTCATGCCCGGAGATTTCATAGCTACTAAAATTATGAATTAGAGATGCAATATTTTGGAAAAAATGGGACTTTTCCAGCCCTGGGTGAGTGTAGGATCTGTTGAGTGTTGACTTCGTGTAGTAGATGACAGGTGGCAGTGCATATTGGCCAACGGGGAAACTTTGATTCTGTTATTATATTGACAGTCAACTTGACTGTCAATGTCAGAACTCAGAAGTCATTTTGCAAATATGCTTGAATTATGCTAGAACCTAGGCTGTTTTACAGGTCACTGAGGTCAGATCACCTATTTAAAGGTATTGATTACTGCATAGTAACTTTGAAGCTGCTTTGGTCTTGTTACAAAGTAGTAGTCATGATTTTGGTCATAAATTTCTATTGTCCTAGTAGTGGAGGTTGGAACCATACTTGTATTCTCAAATGGTATGGCACTGACATTTAAAGGCTACTTCATACATGTCAAGTTGTGCTGAAAATTCTCATCAAGAATTACAGTTGCTGTTAAGCCTGCTACCATCATCCTGTAGAAACCATCTAGTATATACCTGACCTGATATTTAATACTTTCTAATCTTTGAGAACTTTATGTTAATGACTTGGATCTATATAATTATTAGTGACAAGTTATTAGCTTCTTTTGAGGTAAAAAATTTGAAATCCAATCAACAACAAATCCAAAATGTTGAATTAGTAGCTGCAAACCTATTAGTTAAAGCTCTACTGGAAATATATTGTTGAATGTTGATTCCTTGTAGGTGTTGCACATTCATTTATTCACATCAGGAAATCCTGTTCTTATAATCTTGTTTTGTATGCCATTAAGCTAGAAAATTTCTTTTTGCAGAGTCATTACTATGAGCGAGAAGATGTTGCCCTGCATGGACTGGCTAAGTTCTGTCGGAAGAACNGGTTGAAGCTATCAAGGAGCTCGCGGATATGATCACACGCCTCAACCGCGCCGGCCCCACAGGCCTTGGAGAATACATCTTCGACAAGGAGCTTCGCGACTGATATCTCTACTGAATACTTTTTTTCTAAAATCCTGGACTCTCTATACTTGCGGTTATCACAAGCCTCTCCTTAGGTGCAAGTGAGACGAGGAATGGATCTGTGGCTCGTTCGACCAGCATCTGAATGGAAGTAATGTTGCATAAACGAACCTTCCCAAATTTACATCTTATCCTCGGAATGCAGATTTTTATTTTAGTTTACGTTGGATCTGAGAAGTTGCCTATATATCCTGTTAAATTTTTCAGGAGATTGGGTTTTTCATTCCTTTGAAAGGACTTGAATCGTTTAATTCATTTCAAGCTAGTCAATGACGTCGTACAGACACTTGACACAAGTTGCAGCACCGTTCCTTTGACCTAAGATTAGATGGGTTCGCGTAATTGTGTTATAAGTTTTCTACACTTGTGTTCGTGAATATACTATATACCTACAGCAATAATATTGTTCACCTCTTTGAATCTGAATAAATCACGAAATCAGAACTATTTCCTTCACTGATATAAAGTTTGAGCGAGAAGACGCTAATAGTTCCAAATTATCTCGCGAACAGGCTGCTAGCACTTATAAATGTCGACGTTTACTCCAACACGGTAGTCGTTCACTCCCCGACTGTATAGTGAACGTGGATTCAGTAAAGGCCAAAACATTAAATTTTACAGTGCATGAAAGAGTGAGCTTAGCTGGAAGAGTAACTGGCATAATCGATAGCATGTATGAATTATGCAAATTCCATTCGCAGCAAGTACCTCTACCACGTCGCTGTGAGCATGGTTGAACTGGTATTAGGTTGACCCATGAGCTCATATTTTGCGGATGTAGTTCCTTGTTCGCCTGTGACTTCATTGACAAACCATTCACCGAAATACGAACAAACGAGTCAACCAATCCGTCATGGGAATGACTTGTTCTCGATCTCAGTGACGTAACAAAGCTTAAGTGAAAGACAGAAATCCTCGTGAGCCGACAATGGATGTGAGCATGATCATCGATCGAGGTGTATGCTTTTGCTTGAAACTGGCGAGGATTATAATTCAAGTGAGGGTTCACAAAAGCCAAGTTTCTGATCAGTGAAAAAGAATTCAACTCGTATAGCAGACTTCTTTAATAGTCATTCATTAAAATTCATACGGTAACTATCAATGACAAAAAACGTGTCTAAAATTAATTGCCGATTGTACTAAAGAATCTATTCAATCAAGGGTGCAAAACGCCAACTGTGAAAGCTTTCAAGCAAAATTCGGATACATTCTGCGTGTTCAGAACAAATTAGAGCACTCTCGTTCCAATGAGGCAGACTCCAGTTCCACGTTACCGGGCAAGACCAGAAAAATTAGGAAACCTAACGTGTCGTGTGTATCTGAAGTAGAGCGTCGAGTTCACTGGTAGTTCGTGAAGATCATCGTTTACCATTCACAAGTGAATTACCGTAAGAAAACAACAACGGCGCAGAAAATGATACCACTCAATCGGACGAAAGAAGGGAAACTGGAGTGACAGCGGAGATGTATTTCGCAGAGCTAAGGCAGCTCAGAAC